CCTAGAAAAATGAAATGTTTTAGGAAATATTAAAAGGGCAGAATGTTTCCCCTAAAAGGGAGGCAGAAACTCAGCCCCTCCACCTTTGTCAATGGGCCATTAAGGCCTGATAAGCCAGTCTATTCTACATAACAAAGATCTACCTCCTTCAGGCAGAGCTATAGGAGGAATTGCCCAAAGCCCTTTCTTTACATCATCACCCAGTAAGGCTCAACCAAGCCTGGGACACAGACAACCTACAAAGTTACCCCTGCATGGCCCCATGGGAGTCTGACAACCAATCAGAATACAAGCTCAAATTCAAAAGCCCAGAGAGGGCATAAAACCCAGGCACTCTCAGCCTCTCTTGCCTTTTTTTCCCCAGGACCTCAAACTATGTGATCCTGTGCACCATTAAACCATCTTTCCAAGCAGTCTCCATGTTTCTGGCATCTTTCTTCCCACTTGGAATTGAACCCAGATGGTCATTTCTTCCAACAGCGTTATTTGAAAACTAACTCCTGTTTGGTATTTTCTTGTTAAAAAGGCAATCCATTGGGTCATTTGGGGAGCTTGGATGTCAGAACTACCAAGAAAAAAAGGGGGGGCAGAAGGGAGCCCGTTTTGAAGAAGACTTTAATGGAACCAACAGGACTGGACAATCTTTGGCCATTCTCCAACTTTTACTTTTCGCGGAAGGCTGCTGGAAAAGTTGGTGAGCTGCAGCTTCAAAGGATCCGAAGGAAATATTATATTGATTATTTTCAGTTGGGTTTAGGCTGGGGTACAGGGTTGGGGCTGCATTGGACAAGACTTTTCAAGGCTTCACAATAAGTAATGTGCATCCCTTTTGCCTCTCATTAATTGTTTAGTGGCCTTTGATATCAGGGATACTAGAATCACTTTCAGTTGGTACTGGGTTTGTGTCAGTGGTAGAATTCAATTTTTTTTACTACCAGTTCTGTGGGTGTGGCTTGGTGGGCATGTCATGGCTTGGTGGGCGTGGCTTGTTTGGCGTGGCAGGGGAAGGATACTGTAAAATCTCCATTCCCTCCCCATTCCAGGGGAAGGATACTGCACAAATCCACATTTCCTCCCAATCAGCTGGGACTCGAGAGGCAGAGAATAGATGGGGGCAGGACCAGCCAGAGGTGGTATTTACCGGTTCTCCGAACTACTCAACATTTCCACTACCGGTTCTCCAGAACTGGTCAGAACCTGCTGAATACTAGGTTGGTTGGTTTGTCTGGTGTGTGTGTGTGTGTGTGTGTGTGTGTGTGTGTGTGTGTGTGTGTGTGTGTGTTGGGAGGGGTAATCTAGCCTTAATACTGAAAATTTTCCACACTTGGTTCTGGGTGGGAATGCACTTCCCTTGTTATTGCCAGTTTATAAAATAAGAGTTTGGGGCTCAGGGCTCCTGTTTAACCTCCTCAATATTAGGTTGCCCTCAGTTCTGTTGACCTTGTGAAAGACGGTCAGCTAGGGGGAAACTCTTGGTTGCAGGCTGAAGTCAGGGGTCCCCAACTCCCAGTCCATGGACTGGCACCAGTCCATGGCATGCCAGCAACCGCACCATGCAAACAATCAAAGCCCCATCTGCAGGATGCAGGCAGCACACATAAGCACGCCCCTCTCTGGTCCACAGAAAAACCTTTCTCCGCAGAACTAGTCCCTGGTGACCAACAGGTTGGAGAATGCTGGCTTAAGGACAAAGTGGTAGATAAGCCAATTCATGTGTGTGTGTGTGTGTGTGTGTGTGTGTGTGTGTGTGTGTGTGTGTGTGTGTTTATCAGCAGCTCTTGATTATGTAGTGATTATGCCATTGATTTGTTATCCTGATTTTTTTTATTTTATTCATTTTTATTCTTCTGCACCCTTATGCAGCTTATAAATAAAAAAATAAAAAAATAAGTAAGTAGCTAAATAAATAAATAAATAAATAAAGTAATGCACTGATTGCTTCCCCTATCTGACCTTTTCTATTGCTAAGTAAGATTCACAACTGGAAAAGAATATTCATGTAGATCTGCACTGGGCTCATTTAATTATTCCCTAGGGCTGGAGATTCTATGTATTCTCTATCTGAAGCCAGGGGGGAGAAGAACAGTGACTGCAGTGGGCAGAATAATGATGTAAATTTAGTGTGTGTTTATGTATCTATGCTTCTTGTATGTGTGTGTGAGAGAGAGAGGGGGGAGAAGGAGAGGGAGAGGGAGGGAGACAGAGAGAGAGAGAGAAAGAAAGAGACAGAGAGACAGAGGGAGGGGGAGGGAGGGAGAGAGCGGGGGAGAAGGGAGACAGAGAGAGAAAGAGACAGAGAAAGAGAGTCAGAGAAAGAGACACGGAGAGAGGGGGGAGAGGGAGAGGGAGAGGGAAGGAGACAGAGAGAGAGAGAGGGAGAGGGGGGAGACGGAAAATGAAAGAAAGAAAGAGACAGAGAGACACAGAGGGAGAGGGAGAGGGAGGGAGGGAGACAGAGACAGAGAGATGAAGAGGGGGAGACAGAGAGAGAGAAAGAAAGAAAGAGACAGAGAGACACAGAGGGAGAGGGAGGGAGACAGACGGAGAGAGAGGAAGAGGGGGAGACAGAGAGAGAAAGAAAGAAAGAAAGAGACAGAGAGACAGAGACAGAGAAAGAAACACAGAGAGAGAGGGAGAGGAAAGGAGACAGAGAGAGAGAGAGGGAGAGGGGGAGACGGAAAATGAAAGAAAGAAAGAGACAAAGAGACAGAGAGACACAGAGGGAGTGGGAGAGGGAGGGAGGGAGGGAGACAGAGAGAGAGAGAGGAAGAGGGGGAGACAGAGAAAGAAAGAAAGAGACAGAGAGACAGAGAAAGAGAAAGAGACAGAGAGAGAGGGAGAGAGAGGGAGAGAGAGGGAGAGGGAGGGAGACAGAGAGAGAGGGAGACAGGGGGGAGACAGAGAGAGAAAGAAAGAGACAGAGAGACAGACAGAGAAAGAGACACACAGAGAGAGGGGAGAGTGGGAGAGCGTGAGAGAGAGAGAGACGGAGACGCACAGACAGACAGACAGAGTTAATTTGCTTGTGGAAAAGGCCAGCTAGTTTTTCTTCTTTTAAAGAAAACAACATTAAGCCATTTTTAGAGTATGCAGTACAATTTCCATGTTCCTTCCATCTGAAAAGGGTGGGAAATCTTTCTCCTAATTTTAGCAGTTAGAGCTGGAGTGTATTCCAGAGGCTACAGAAAAGAGATTTAGGGGTCACAAGCTTGTCATCTTAGATTTAAAATACATTCTATGAAATCAGATTTGTTTTCAGAAGCAGCGGTTTGACTCTATCCATCAATACCCAATCTAGAATTCCAATCCAGTGGAATTTCCAGCGTGGGGTAAGTATGTAGACAGAATTAGGTTATTTTGTTCCGCATTTAGAAATAATGAAAAGGCTGAGCACCCCTTCAAAACTTAATTACAGTATTGTGTAGAGAAATTATTATGACTAGAGAGATGAGGAAGAATTGCCCCATATTTTGTCATTTATAAAATCTCTACAAGGATGATATGTTAGTACTTGAACAGAATATTTATAGACATTATGATCAAGCTGATGATATCTTCAATAAGAATGGACTTGAAATAAATTGGCAATGCTTTTTTTATATCCATTTTTTAAAATGGCAACTTTTAAAATTTTAAACTTTTTTCAGGCAATGCCTGAAAATTTTTACCAAATCTCTTCCAACGCAAATCTTGATTCCCTTGATTTGACTGAATCAAATGGATTCAAGCAGATTTCAGTAGAGAAATTAAGGATCCTGTAAGAGTACCTATTTCTAAAGCTACCAACTTCATTAATGGTTTAAAAGTTTTATATATTCTTTAGATGCACGTATAATGTTTTTAAGAGTGCATGTGTGAAATATTAAATGTTTCTTTGTGCAGGAATACTTGAAAAATACTTTTTTTTTACAGTACTAACCAAATCTAGAACATAGATTTTATGGTTTAATTTATAAGATGGCCTCAGGATTTCTTTTAAAAAACTTATCTTGATGGGTTTTTTTTTCCTTTTAGATTTAGCAAGAGTGCTTCTATCCCTTAAAATTATAATTTTGTAGAACAAAGAATTATATGTAGCTTCCTTTCAAAATAACCTCAGGTGATGCAAAATGTCATCATTGTTCAGTTAATGATAGCTGCATGTTGAAGGTAATTAATTAATCAATTTCTAGAGCCAACTATCTCAGTCAATGACTCTGGATGGCCAACAATTGAAAACGGAAAAAAAAAAAAGACCATTAAAAATACTAAAAATATTTTAAAACAACAAAAGGATTAAAAGCAGTAAAAACATCCAGGTCCCTCCCCACGTAGGAGCAAGGTATTTAGCCAGTTAGCAGTACAGCCATGAAACAGCTACAATTCTATTACAGACTCAGTGTCGCAGTGGTTAGAGTGCAGTACTGCAGGCTACATCTGCTGACTGCCAGCTGCCTGCAATTTGGCAGTTCAAATCCGATCAGGCTCAAGATTGACTCAGTCTTCCATCCTTCTGAGGTTGGTAAAATGAGGACCCAAATAGGCTGACTCTTTAAACAGCTTAGAGAGGGCTGTAAAGCAGTACATAAATGTAAGTGCTAGTCCTAAGTGCTATTACTATTCCTAAAAAAAAACAACCAATAGAACTCATCAAGCGTGTCCTTTTTTTAAAAATAACAAAGGCTCCAATGCACGGCCTTTGAATGTACTTGACATATAAATTCACTTTCAAATGAATAGTGAAAAACTATTTTTTGTAACTCAATATATATTAATACCAGAGCTCAGTTCTTTTACTTGGAATACCTTATATTCTTATTCGTGGCACGACAAAACCGCGGTCCACTAAAGCGCGCCCGATTAAAGCGCGTCGCTGACGTCATCAGCAGCGCGATAACAACGACTGCGGAGAAAAAAGGGCGCTTTAAAAAGCGCTTTTAAAGCAAGCCGATTCACGTAAAGGTAAGGGTTAGGTTTAGGNGGGGGAAAATCCAACATTAGAAATTATGTTTGGTCTGGACATTTTCCCCCTATAAATAAATATCCAGGCAATGCCGGGTTATCAACTAGTTAAGTATAATATGTGTGGCAAGGGAGAGGAGGGAATAAAAGGAGGATGTTGGAGGAAGGAGAGTAGACAGAGGGAATACAGGAGAAAGAAGGAGGGGCTTGACTGGGGGGAGGGAGAAAGAAGAGAAAGAAAAGAGCGGGAAGCAGGGAGAGAGGAGATGAGACCAAGGAAAAAAGGGGACATAAGGGAATAGAATAGCAGAGGCTCCAACCAGCCACCTGAATAACATGGCCTGCCTATCATCCGTGACCTGCCTGCTGAAAGGAGGCTGACTGTCACGCTATCACATGATCCTGGAAAGTAGAGGTGCATCAGAGAAAGACCAGGGTGGACTGGCAACCATACGAAGAGGGCCAGGAGAACTCAGGCCCCAGGGGCCATTACGAGGGTTAGCACTACATGTGATTCTCCAACCAAGTACCATTGTGCCCTTTCAGGATTAGGTGGGGTTAGAGAGCAAGAAATTTCTTTGGAATCCATTTCCTCTTTTCTCACCATTGCCCATCTCTCCCAAAATGGACAGGGATCATGTAGTATAGGAAATGTGCTAAGAAGCTTCAAAGTAACCTTAGAATCAATTTGGTGAGGTCCTAATTTTCAGGGCTTAGAGAGCAATTTGTTCAAGAGGACTCCATCATTCTTAGACAGCAGAGCTCCAAAGGTGAACCTAAGAGATTGCAGGAGTTATCGTGAATTGCCTGCATTCGATTATGAGCAAAGACCTGGATTTTTCTGTATTTTTTTTTAAATTTCATGAAACAGATGGGAAGATAATTTATGTTTGGGGCTAAATTTTACCTGACCTAGCGATGGAACTCTGAATGCTCCGTACATTAAATCAGAAACTAGGAGCTAATGAGTATTCACCACTGACATTTACCAGTTATGGACGGAAAGAACATTAATCTTCACTGAAATTTTCTCCTTGAATTACCGTAGGAGGCTCAAATGGCAAGGTGAGCAAAACCTAAATGTTGTCATATTAGATTGGGACACCAGTTGTATCTCTTTTAAAGGTAAAGGTAAAGATTCCACTTGCACATATGTGCTAGTCATTCCCGACTCTAGGGAACAGTGCTCATCTCCATTTCAAAGCCGAAGAGCCAGCGCTGTCCGAAGACATCTCCATAATAATGTGGCTGACATGACTAGATACCAAAGGCACACGGAACACTGTTACCTTCCCATCAAAGGTGGTCCCTATTTTTCTACTTGCATTTTTACATGCTTTCAAACTGCTAGGTTGGCAGAAGCTGGGACAAGTAACGNGGGGGGTTAGGTTTAGGTTTATGCATTAATTTTACCTTTACCGCTCATAGCGTGCTTTTTTTGTCGCGCTGTGATGACGTCAGGTACGCGGTTTCGTTGAGCGCGCTTTAGTCGACCACGGTTTTGTGGTGGAACCATTCTTATTAGCTAATTTCATACAGGCTACTCCTGCAGGATTTTTCCAGCTGTATTCCATGGAATCCTGGGGGCACAGAACATAACAGAACAGAGCAATACTAGAGTGGGAAGGGACCTTGGAAGTCTTCTAGACTTCCCCTGCTTCAGCTTGAGATCCTATGCTATTTCAGACAAATGGTTGTCAGCTTCTTTTTGGAAGCCTCTAGTGATGCAGCACCCACAACATCTGAAGGCAAGCTATTTCATTGGTTTGATTGCTCTCACCATTAGGAAATTTCTCCTTAGTTCTAGGTTGCTCCTCTCCAAGGTTAGTTTCGATCCATTCTTTCTTCTCTTACCTTATGGGGCTTTGGAAAATAGCTTGAGCCCCTTGTCTTGGTAAGGGCCCCTCAAATATTGGAACACTGCTGCCATGTCCCTCTTAGTCCTTCTTTTCATTAGACTAGACATACCCAATTCCTGTGATCATTCTTTGTATATTTTAGCTTCCAGCCCCCTAATCATTCTTGCTGCTCTTTTCTGCACTCTTTCCAGAGTCTCAACATCTTTTCTTTTTATATTGTGGTGAACAGAAAGGGATGGAGTATTCCAAGAGTGGTTTATGAAAACTTGATGAGGTTTCATGACAAAAAAGCACTCAAATTTGGCTAATTTGCCTCTTGATCTGAAAATTTGTGTTTTTTAACCCTCAGGTGCCATGGCCTAAAAGGATTTGGAAACACTTGCAATAGAGATCCACAAAGCTATAAAGAACGATTGCTTTGTTTTGAGCCAGGTGTCTGGTCCATCTTGTTCACCAGTGTCTACTTTATATCAAGAGGCATCAGCTTAGACACTTGTCCTTGATTTGCAAATGCTGAGCCCTTTTATATGAAAACAAGTGCTGGGTCATTCAGCTGCAATGCAACTTTAAAGTTATGGCTACGGTGAAACTGTCAATCTTTCAGATGTTCCAGGTGGGTTTGTTGACACAAACAAACAGTTTTACCCCTTTGGAGAAATGTATATTTATTAATATTTATTGGTCTGTTTACTTGACAGATTGATATCCTATTTATCCTCCACTGACTTCCAGGCAGCTCACAAGAATAGCCAAGTTAAAACATTACTCTGAAGTACAAAGAGAAATTACAAAGCAGCAGCTCAGAAAACAACTGGATAAAAAACAGCAGAATTTGGAAAATGTTTCGAATCCTAGAAACCACCAGCAATCCTCTAAGGCCCTCCAGAAATGTAAAGTTGCACCAATTCTTCATAGAAGAATGATCTTGACTAATGTATGCAAGTCTTTTTCAAAGGAAAATATTACAATGTTTTCATTCACTCACTCACTCACTCACTCACTCACAAATAAACAATAATAATCCAACCCTAAGGATGGGATTTCCAAGGTGGAGGGGGAAACAAAAGAGATATATACTTTGTATATTTCACAAAATGCTTTCATCAACTACCCCAAATTCCTTGTATTGCTTGGGAAAAGGCACGGTTTTCTGGCACACGCCTGCAAGGAATAAAAATAACTTTTTGGTAAAACAGACAGATGCCACCTGCAATATCACTCAAAAGTAGTAACAAAAGTAAAAATAAGGAAACAAATCCTCTTGGTATAGCAAACCACCACCACAATTTTGCCAAAAGTACTTTGTATTATAAATGTAAAAGATGGGCTTAATCTTAAAGGTTGGTCATTTCTTGAGCCGAGGTGGCGCAGTGGTTAGAGTGCAGTACTGCAGGCCACTCCAGCTGACTGCTATCTGCAGTTCAGCGGCTCAAATCTCACTGGCTCAAGGTTGACTCAGCCTTCCATCCTTCCGAGGTGGGTGAAATGAGGATCCAGACTGTGGGGGCGATATGCTGACTCTGTAAACCGCTTAGAGAGGGCTGAAAGCCCTATGAAGCGGTATATAAGTCTAACTGCTATTGCTNAAAGGTGGTCCCTATTTTTCTACTTGCATTTTTACATGCTTTCAAACTGCTAGGTTGGCAGAAGCTGGGACAAGTAACGGGAGCTCACTCCATTAGGCAATGCTAGGGATTTGAACCGCTTAACTGCCCACTTTCTGATCAACAAGCTGAGCGTCTTAAGCGTCTTAACCACTGAGCCACTGTGTCCCTTGTATCTCTTTTAAGAGAAGATAAATTTTGTCCTGATCATTCTTCCTGTTACAATTTCTTGAATTATTTCCATGCTCTTTTATAGAAACATTCATTGGTTCAATAACTATCTGGTAGGAAACAGCAATATTATTTTACCATCCTATTTTACAATGGGTATCTACTTGTTTCTGGAATCAGTCTAGTGTACTGGTTTCTACCTCTAAAACTTTAAATAATTTCAAACCCTGTTTCTTGAAGGGTTACTTTTCTCTATTTATTCCCTTTTTGTTTAAAAGTCTTTCTCTTTTCCCCTCTCATATTTGGAGTCCAGATATGAAAAGAATTGCATGGATACAGCCAGATTCTACATCGAATGTAACAGGTTCTCCATCACAACTAATACAGCAGAATCTCATTATCAATATTGTTTTCGTTTCTCGGTTTGGTTGAACAAACTCAGACTTCCTCAAGCTGATTATTCCCAAATATATTTGGAGTAGAGTAGAACCTTAGAATTCCTAGCTAGGTCAAGTTATTTGAGCTCTATTTTTTTTATAAAGTGTTTTTTATTTCACATTTTCCAAACATTAAAATCACAATTACACTTTTACAGCTTTCTGTTATCTGTATTTCTTTTTTTCTGATTTTGGGTTTTCCATTTTCCATTCTATTATCTTATACATATCGTTCTTTGTTTCATACTTTATCATTTTTACAATTTATACATCTATATACAATGTTTCCATCTCTATTGCTTTCTAAATATCTGCTTTCTCTTTTCATTATGTTTGCTATGTGTTCCTTATGCATTGATTTTACATCTCTTTTCAAGCCAGTTTTACCACCTGTTCCATATCTTGTAGTATTCTGTTTCCTTCTATCTCTTAATTCCATTGTTAGTTTGTCCATTTCTGAGCATTCTAGACCTTTTTTATTTGAGCTCTATTCTGATTGATTGATTGATTGATTGATTGATTGATTGATTGAACTCTGGGAGTTGAAGTCTCAAAGCACCTAGAAGCTACTAAAATGGGAAAAGTGATCAAACAAAGCAGGTATGTTGCATGAGGTTCTGTTCTTGTAGTTGTTACAGCTTTGGATTATCTAATTAATGTTTCCTATTCCTGTGAACCTTTTCTTCTTCCTCTGTTGGCTGAACAACAGAGGAGACAAAAGAATACTAATATAATTCCATCTGATCCGAGTAGACTTCAGTTAGATTTGACTTCAATTTAGATTTAAAAAAATATGCTTTTCAACTGGAATCTTGGGAACTGCGAAATCTCTTTGCTTCCCTACAATTCAACGGTGTGGCTTGTTAATTTTTGAAGCCTGCCAAGCCGATGTGGCTCTACTGCATTAGTTGCAGTTTCCCAGGGAGGGGAGTTTTAACATCTGCTCCACATCAGCCCAAGCTAAGTTAGCTGCATGAAAGGAGGCAATGCAAGAATTACAGAACAGAGCAAACCATAAATCAAAGCCATTTGATGAACAACAACTTCTAAGTAATAGGCCAATGCAAAGCAATCACAGCGTGTCATAACAAGGCATTTTGTGCAGTGGGGGCAATGCGATTGGCCTCATCAAAGTGTTTTATGTCACCCTGCCACTTTCAGTAGATGGAAAAGGCTTTCATGAGCCAAACTGGAGATCTGAGGTTCAGAAGAAGCATGATTCAATTTAATTTTGCACTTCAAGATTGAGAGGCAAACTAATTCACTTCAATATTTAATTCACAAAAGCCTTCGCTATAAGCTATAGCAGGAGAGCATCGAAGGCTGCAGACTTCCCACCCTCTTTTTTCCCCCTTTTTGACAGAATGGGATTAGAACGGATGGCAGACCTTTAGAGAACATTAGCATGCCAAGTCTGTGCTTTATATCTTTAAAGATTTCACCACAATAAAGTTTAAGCAGTTTTTTCTTGTGCACCTTCTTTGCAAGAGATGTGGAAAAAAGCAGCAGAGCAGCCTGCTCTGAAAAGCTATAGAGAATTTGTGCTGAATCACTCCGGAAAGTCCTTAATCCACTTTAAAAAAGAAAACATAAATTTTAAATGCTTACAATTAAACTAACTTTTTTTTCACTTACTTTTCTAAAGCAGCACTTTGGTATGGCACATTGGCCAACTTGGATTCTTGAGGGAAGGACAGGAAATAAAGCCAACTGACTTTGCCTCATGTGATGATGTCCATCTGTCTCTCCATTCAGAATTTCTGTGGGGACAGAAGCTTCCCAACCATCAACAGCCTGTTAGTATCTCTGGCATCTTTCTGCAATAATGTTACTTTGTAAAGTAAAATCAACTCAGAACAACTCTTCTTAATAATGACATAAGAGCAGTGATGGCTAACCTTTTCCGGACCGAGTGCCCAAAGCAGGCACATGTGCCCAAACTCCCAAAATGCAATGTGTGCATTCCGCCTCCCACATGTGTCCCACCCCTGACTGAAACCATCTTGGATGCTTCAATGTTGCCACACTGGAGCTGAGAGATAGGGAGGGGGGAATTTAGATAGCTGGGATTTTGTAGCCAAAGCAAAATACTTTCTCTTGAAAACCAAGGACATTCTCACACCTGGGCAGAGGAAGGAGGAGTGATGTCACCAGGCAACCATACAATGCCGTGATTGGACCATGTGACTGATTGTTTTGGGAAAGTGACAAACCTTTACTTTTAATGAGGTGAAAACTCTGGGAACTTTCAGAGTCAGTTTTCACCAGATATATGCTGATATGATATATCCAATAAAGCTATTCCTTGAGGAATCTACCTGCCTTGGAGTTTTGCTTGCTATGGGTCTCTTACTTGGAACTCTGACACCTGCATGTAGTTATGCCAATTAAAGTGTCCCAGGATCATGTGAATATCTTTTGTTGACATGCAAAGTTAATGGGGAATCCAGATTCACTTAACAGCCATGTTACTAACAATTACAGTGATTCACTTAACAATTATGGCAAGAAATGTGGTAAAATGGAGTAAAATTCACAACCATCTTGCTTAGCAACAGAAATTTTGAATTCAGTTGTAGTCATAAGTTGAAGACTACCTGTATAGGTAATGATCACAATTGACATTGCATTGGAAATCTGGAAATCTGATGAGAATTAATCCAGAAACCGTAAAGTAATCTGCAATAGCAGGCTTCATTGGTCCCCAGTTTTGTACTTCATTCTGTAGCAGTTGTGGCATCTTGACAACTTTGCAGATAACATAATCCTTGCCACTGCAAAAGAATGTCCTGCCCATTGATCTCTGTCAATTGGTTTGAATACAGGGAACATTGCGAACATTTTCATTCTTCATTTACTAGGGTGTATGTATAATGGGATTAAGAGGCTGATGAAATATGGAATCAAGTATTTTGTGTGATCACTCGTTCCGCTGCAAAACACCAACTTTCATTACGGGTTTTCATGTTAATGTAATAGAATAACACACTCGCTGGTTAATGTGTTTTTGAAAAATTGGCTCTTTTTTTAAAAGAAAAAGAAAAAGAAAGAAGATGAGAGTGTACATTTCAAAGTGCAAAGGGAAATAACTTATTAAAGAGCTTTATTGCCGCTGTTTTAGGAAGGGGGAAAAAGGAAGGAAGGAAGGAAGGCAGGCAGGCAGGCAAGGCAAATATATATATATATGAGCTTTTTCTCCTTCAGCCCTTTTCCAAGATACCATCTACACCAGTGGTGGGATTGAAATTTTTTGACTACCGGTTCTATGAGCGTGACTTGGTGGACGTGGCTTGATGGGCATGGCAGGGGAAGGATACTGTAAAATCTCAATTCCCTCCCCACTCCAGGGGAAAGTTACTGTAAAATCCTCATTTACTCCCGATCGGCTGGAAGTTCTTCAGAACTGGTTATAACCTGCTGAACACCTTCTCTGGTCTACACTAAAAAAAAGTATTAATGAAGATACTTTGCTTAAAGCTCCTGAATATAATTAAGTCATCCTTCATTGGCCGGGCAGAAGTTTGAAGGACCCTTTGCTTCACCAAACTTCCATCAAAGCAAATTTTAAAAAAAACTCTACACAGCAAAATGGCTGCTTTGTATCGCTTTGCACAACAAAAGCAGGTTCTTTCTATGTATGTTGCATACATAGAAGCCGTGTTTTTTTCAAAGTGAAGTAGTAGATTGAAACCAAGAACACTCGACTTGAAGCATTTAAT